TTTACATATTCGGCACGACATATATATATATATATATATATATATATATATATATATATATATATATATATATATAGGTAGTAGGTTGGTAGACAGCAACCACCCAGGGAAGTACTACCGTCCTGCCAGATGACTGTGAAACAAAAACCTGTAACTGTTTTGCATGATGGTAGGATTGCTGGTTTCTTTTTCTGTCTCATAAACACGCTAAGATAACAGGGATATCTTGCTACTCCTACTTACACTTTGGTCACACTTCATAGACACGCACATGCATATATATATATACATACATCTAGGTTTTTCTCCTTTTTCTAAATAGCTCTTGTTCTTTTTATTTCTTCTATTGTCCATGGGGAAGTGGAAAAGAATCTTTCCTCCGTAAGCCATGCGTGTCGTATGAGGCGACTAAAATGCCGGGAGCAATGGGCTAGTAACCCCTTCTCCTGTATACAATTACTAAAAAAGAGAAGAAGAAAAACTTTATAAAACTGGGTTGCTTAAATGTGCGTGGATGTAGTGCGGATGACAAGAAACAGATGATTGCTGATGTTATGAATGAAAAGAAGTTGGATGTCCTGGCCCTAAGCGAAACAAAGCTGAAGGGTAGGAGAGTTTCAGTGGGGGGAAATAAATGGGATTAAATCTGGAGTATCTGAGAGAGTTAGAGCAAAGGAAGGGGTAGCAGTAATGTTAAATGATCAGTTATGGAAGGAGAAAAGAGAATATGAATGTGTAAATTCAAGAATTATGTGGATTAAAGTAAAGGTTGGATGCGAGAAGTGGGTCATAATAAGCGTGTATGCACCTGGAGAAGAGAGGAATGCAGAGGAGAGAGAGAGATTTTGGGAGATGTTAAGTGAATGTATAGGAGCCTTTGAACCAAGTGAGAGAGTAATTGTGGTAGGGGACTTGAAATTTGCTAAAGTAGGAGAAACTTTTAGAGAGGGTGTGGTAGGAAAGTTTTGGGTGCCAGGTGTAAATGATAATGGGAGCTCTTTGATTGAACTTTGTATAGAAAGGGGTTTAGTTATAGGTAATACATATTTTAAAAGAAAAAGAGGATAAATAAGTAACACGATATGTTTGTAGGGCGAAATGACAGTAGTTTGTTGGATTATGTATTGGTAGATAAAAGACTGTTGAGTAAAACTTCAGGATGTACATGTTTATAGAGGGGCCACAGATTTTATCAGATCACTTTCTAGTTGTAGCTACACTGAGAGTAAAAGGTAGATGGGATACAAGGAGAATAGAAGCATCAGGGAAGAGAGAGGTAAAGGTTTAATAACAAAAAGAGGAGGCAGTTAGGGTAAGATATAAACAGCTTTTGGAGGATAGATGGGCTAATGAGAGCATAGCAATGGGTCGAAGGGGTATGGGGTAGGTTTTAAAAATGTAGTGTTAGAGTGTTCAGCAGAAGTTTGTGGTTACAGGGAAAATGGGTGCAGGAGGGAAGAGGAGCGATTGGTGGAATGATGATGTAAAAGAGTAGTAAGGGAGAAAAAGTTAGCATATGAGAAGTTTTTTTCAGTAGAAGTGATGCAAGGAGGGAAGAGTATATGGAGAAAAAGAGAGAAGTTAAAGAGTGGTGAAGCAATGTAAAAAAAGAGCAAATGAGAGAGTGGGTGGGGATGTTATCAACAAATTTTGTTGAAAAAAAGAAAAGTTTTGGAGTGAGATTAACAAGTTAAGAAAGCCTAGAAACAAATGGATTTGTCAGTTAAAAATAGGAGAGGAGAGTTATTTAAAAGGAGAGTTAGAGGTATTTGGGGAAAATGGAAGGAATATTTTGAGGAATTGTTAAATGTTGATGAAGATAGGGAAGCTGTGATTTCGTGTATAGGGCAAGGAGGAATAAACATCTTGTAGGAGTGAGGAAGAGCCAGTTGTGAGTGTGGGGGAAGTTCGTGAGGCAGTAGGTAAAATGAAAGGGGGTAAGGCAGCCGGGATTGATGGGATAAAGATAGAAATGTTAAAAGCAGGTGGGATATAGTTTTGGAGTGGTTGGTGCAATTTATTTAATAAATGTATGGAAGAGGGTAAGGTACCTAGGGATTGGCAGAGAGCATCCCATAGTTCCTTTGTATAAAGGCAAAGGGGATAAAAGAGAGTGCAAAAATTATAGGGGGATAAGTCTGTTGAGTGTACCTGGTAAAGTGATGGTAGATTTAAATAATTGAAAGAATTAAGAGTAAGACGGAGAATAGGATAGCAGATGAACAAGGAGGCTTTAGGAAAGGTAGGGGTGTGTGGACCAGGTGTTTACAGTGAAACATATAATGAACAGTATTTAGATAAGGCTAAAAAGGTCTTTGTGGCATTTATGATTTGGAAAAGGCGTAAAGACAGGGTGGATAGGGGGGGAAAAGTGGCAGATGTTGCAAGGTATGGTGTAGGAGGTAGGTTACTGAAAGCAGTGAAGAGTTTTTACGAGGATAGTGAGGCTCAAGTTAGAGTATGTAGGAAAGAGGAAATTTTTTCCCAAATAAAAGTAGGGCCCTTTGACAAGGATGTGTGATGTCACCGTGGGTTTTTTAATATATTTATAGATGGGGTTGTAAGAGAAGTAAATGCGAGGGTCTTGGCAAGAGGCGTGGAGTTAAAAGATAAAGAATCACACACAAAGTGGGAGTTGTCACAGCTGCTCTTGCTGATGACACTGTGCTCTTTGGGGGATTCTGAAGAGAAGTTGCAGAGATTGGTGGATGAATTTGGTAGGTGTGCAAAAGAAGAAAATTAAAGGTGAATACAGGAAAGAGTAAGGTTATGAGGATAACAAAAAGATTAGGTGATGAAAGATTGAATATCAGATTGGAGGGAGAGAGTATGGAGGAGGTGAACGTATTCAGATATTTGGGAGTGGACGTGTCAGCGGATGGGTCTATGAAAGATGAGGTGAATCATAGAATTGATGAGGGAAAAAGAGTGAGTGGTGCACTTAGGAGTCTGTGGAGACAAAGAACTTTGTCCTTGGAGGCAAAGAGGGGAATGTATGAGAGTATAGTTTTACCAACGCTCTTATATGGGTGTGAAGCGTGGTGATGAATGTTGCAGCGAGGAGAAGGCTGAGGCAGTGGAGATGCATGTCTGAGGGCAATGTGTGGTGTGAATATAATGCAGAGAATTCGTAGTTTGGAAGTTAGGAGGAGGTGCGGGATTACCAAAACTGTTGTCCAGAGGGCTGAGGAAGGGTTGTTGAGGTGGTTCGGACATGTAGAGAGAATGGAGCGAAACAGAATGACTTCAAGAGTGTATCAGTCTGTAGTGGAAGGAAGGCGGGGTAGGGGTCGGCCTAGGAAGGGTTGGAGGGAGGGGGTAAAGGAGGTTTGTGTGCGAGGGGCTTGGACTTCCAGCAGGCATGCGTGAGCGTGTTTGATAGGAGTGAATGGAGACAAATGGTTTTTAATACTTGACGTGCTGTTGGAGTGTGAGCAAAGTAACATTTATGAAGGGATTCAGGGAAACCGGCAGGCCGGACTTGAGTCCTGGAGATGGGAAGTACAGTGCCTGCACTCTGAAGGATGGGTGTTAATGTTGCAGTTTAAAAACTGTAGTGTAAAGCACCCTTCTGGCAAGACAGTGATGGAGTGAATGATGGTGAAAGTTTTCTTTTTCGGGCCACCCTGCCTTGGTGGGAATCGCCGGTGTGATTAATAAAAAAAAAAAATAAAATATATATATATATATATATATATATATATATATATATATATATATATATATATATATATATATATATATATATATATATTTATTTCATTGTGTTTATTTATATTAAATTAAATTACAAACTTATCTAAAATATATTTAGTTGGATTAGGATAAAATAAATTGCGCTTGTTATAATATGATTAGGTAAGTTTTCTAAGGCTCTTCTGGTACAAAATTATAAATTTTTACATTAACATAAATTAAAAAAATATATCTTTAAACGTATAAGAGAAAATTTTAGAAAGAACTTAATTTTAAATGAGTTCTTGATAAGTGACCAGTTTTACCTATTCTGCACGACTCGAAGAAAACACATTCACTAATATTCAATCAATCACCCGTTTGGTATAAAAGGAAAAATCATTGCAACTCTTTAAATAAACACAACCTATTTTTAGATATAAAGAAAAATCATTAACTGCTAAGCTAATTTTTTTAAATTTGTTTTATATGAAAAGCAAAGAATCTATTTTCGTTATTTTTTTTTTTTTGCATTGGTGTCAGCTCTTTCTATATATTTTTTTTAATCTTCTCACCCTTTTTTTTTCTAAAATTTTTTACTTTTGGGAAAAAATTTTTCGATTTCACCATTTCAAAAATTCCAGAAACTGGACGCCTCAGTAACAGAAATTTTATGTTTGAAATATTTTTAATATTTTTTTTTTTAGGAAATTTTTACCCTTTTCTCTTGACATAATTCTATCCACCTTCTCCTTTGAGTACCCTCTTTTTCTCACTTAAAAATTGATCTTTGCCCTTTCTTTAAACAGCCCTTTTCTATTCTCCGAAATTCCCCGCCCTGGAGAGACGGGAGTTTTTTGCGTCGGATCAAATCTAAAACAATAAATGGAGTTTAGTTCATCCCCGGGCCAAAATGTCTCACGCCAGTGAAACCGCATTTAAAAACCCAGGGAATTTCTTTGTAAGTTACCCTGCTGGTGAAGGTGTCACTGGAGAGGCAAAATATACACACACAAAATCGTCACGAAGAACACCCACAGTCTCTTACAAAAAAAAAACGGCAACAACACTGATACACACTGACATCTTTCCCTGTAAAAATGACCACTAAACATTTAATTCTTTTATTTCGAGGGCACGTCGGATTAGATCATAAATATGTTCTTAAGTTCTCAAAGGATTAGTATGATCATAAACCTTCACGAGGAACACTTCTGTAGCCCCGAGTTCATTGGGACAAATAACAAGGATTAGCTACAATAAAATGAACAAGCCTTTTCGGAAAAGGGATTGAGAGATCAATGTTATCTTGTTGTTTTGCTGCAGGAGGAGGCCAGCACGCAGTTGCTTGGGTATGACTGACGTCAAAACGGATATACCTGTGATTATCTTGCTGAGTATTTAACCCACGACCACGGGACTAGTTCCTCACAGATGAATCCACCTCCAATACCCACACAGCTCAATATGAAGCTCATCATTGCCCTCACCCTTGTGGCCGTAGCTACCGCTGATGTCCCAGCAGCAACTAAGCCTCCTGTAGCTGCAGTGGCTTCACCTGTGACTGCTGAACTCTGCAGTTTGCCGTACTGCAAGATCATCGCTGGACAAGAGGTTCGCTGCGAGAACCCGGGGGCCTGGTTTGAGTACTACCCTCACCCCACGAACCGTCATCTGTTCGTGCAGTGCACCACCTATGGTCCTCAGGTGATGAGCTGCGCCCCAGGTACCGCTTGGTCCCAACCGGATAAGGTGTGTATCTTCGAAACCTTTGTACCAAGCTGCACAGCCGACGCCACTGTCTGTGACTGTGACGTCTGCTACAGGGGCGACCCTAACGACACCACCAGCTACTACTACTGCTCCGTGAGTAGGAGTTTGTGGAACCTTTTTTTTTTATAATTTAGAGGACACTTTGACAAGAAGGTAATTCAGAACTTGACTAAATCGAAGATTTCATACTAGCATGCATGCACACTGGCCCAACACACATACTCACAGACACGCACACACACATGAGGCGCACACACATACACACACCACACACACACACACACACACACACACACACACACACACACACACACACACACACACACACACACACACACACACACACACCATAGAATTATCACCCGAAGATAAAATTCATTTATTTAAGCTTCCACAGAATTAATAATTAGAACTACATGAGGCTAAACTCTCCTTCATAACTTGTAAAAACACATTACCATAACAAGCAACACTAACACCACAACCACGACAATTAGCTCCATCACCATCTCCAACACCGCCACTACCACCTCTTTAAAATCTCCACCATCTTCAACACCACCATCATCATTACCTCCAGCACCACCATCACCTCTTCCACACCATTAAAGCTAAACTACCACCTCCAGCACTACTACACCTCTAAGACCAACTCCGACAGCCTCCAGCACCATCGTCACCTCTAAGACAATCTCCACTACCATCCTTACCCCTAACACCACCTCCAGCACCACACTGAGCACCACCTTCAGCACCACCTTCAGCATCACTTGCATAAAAAATAAAAGAGTTCTCTCTCATTAAAAGAGTTTTCTCTCTCTATTTTTCCCAATGTAGCAGAAAACGGTGACTTAATTGATGACGAAGCAGATATAGTAAGATTTGCAAATTATATTAATCATCCATACCTTCTCGGAGAAAATAATTTTCTGTACCAACATCATTACTTTAAGGTGAAAACCGTAATAATGTTATTCTTGTACCAACACATTATACCAGCACCGTTGCTGGTACAATGTGATGGTACAATATGTTTAACAGTTGGTATCTGATACACTTTGTCCATATTAAAGGGGTTACAGTGGAAGAAGTCAAACCGCTGATCAGTTGGAACAAGTCCCTTAATAAGGGACCAGTATCCCTGAAGCTGAAACTTGTAAATATTAATCCAAACTTTAGAAGTTAACTTACACATTATAATTATGCATCAGTTATGTCCTGGAACTGGGAAGTTAATATGATAATAATTTAAAGATTCTATACTTTGACATTAAAATTTGATATTCTCAGTAACGGAACAATATGTAAGTTTTCCCGTCTCCCTACTTCTCATTTCCGTTTCTCTATTTCTCATTTCCGTCTCTCTACTTATTTCCGTCTCTCTGTTTCTCATTTCCGTCTCTCTACTTCTTATTTCCGCCTCTCTACTTCTCATTTCCGTCTCCCTAATTCTCATTCCGTCTCCCTAATTCTCATTCCCCTCTCCCTAATTCTCATTCCCGTCTCCCCAGTTCTCATTCCCGTCTCCCCAATTCTCATTCCCGTCTCTCTACTTCTCATCTAATAATTATTTTCTTCCTCAGCTGGATGCAAACGGTGAGTGAGACACTCTGCCTATCTTTTCCTGTCTGAAGCACCTTAAGTGCAAGATTTCTTCATCCACTGTAAATATGTACGGTGCCACAGGAGGTAAGTATGTCGCCTTTTGCACGTAATGTGGCACCAAACGGGCCGTTTGTTGTTAGTACGTATAATACCACACAAGTAGATAGTTATCCTAAGGTTAAGTGTGCTAGTGCATTGAGCAAGAATTGTACTAAATGTGTACTGCAGTGAAGATAATTGTAATAGCTATCTTGAGTGCTACAGGTCAATGTCTGAGTGTTAGTACCAGCAGGTACAGGTGCAAGACGGTGTGTTACCAATTTTAACGTGTACTGTCAGGAAAGCCGTACTCTTCGGTCAACTTGCAGAACTGTGCTTCTCACAGCTCTTGACAAGTCACAATATTCTTATAATTATGCAAAAATTGTTGGGTAACAAATATGGTTATTAGTTACGAAAGACGTCTAAACCAGGAAGTCTAATCTCAACATAAAAAAAAAAACAGTAAATTTTTAAAATATCTAAAATGAATGAGAAACGATTATCAGTTGTCTAGGATATGTTGGTGTCCACAGGTCAGCGTTGTAGAGGTGCCAAGATGACGTGTGGAGCAGGCACCACCTGGGACAAGAATAGCAACACTTGTGTCTAAGTAGTTTGCTCCATGTGGCTGGTGTCACCAGATGCTGCTTCAGGTGGCTGATGATGTCACCAGCTGAGACTTAGGACAAGGAATACACTACCATCATCGCATGACAATACACCCATTTGAAAAAGTACAGATGATATCCTGACAAACTACTCGACTCTACTCGACTATAACGACAGGGTTTAATAACCTGAACTACCATTTACTTGTCATATGATTTCAAATAAATACCCAGAATCACATGTAGCAATAATCAAATTGTGATTTCCAGAAGACAGTTGAAAAATTCTTAAATAATAACGATAGCAGTCAGTAGTAATTTGTGTTGCTCAGTGTCAAAATAACATAATATAAATTGATTTGATGCTGACTATTTTTCATTACATCTCCTTTTTCAAAACATTCAAAGCAAATGTTTATTAAGCTAACAAACATGTGAAACGTTATAGGTTGGAATCTATGAATAACAAGCGAGCAGAGATGCTTTCAACCCAGCTATGGCTCTGGGTATATGAATATTTGTGGTTCGTCATAGTGTCGAACCTGTGAACTCAGACAATGAAGCTTTACCTTGGGATCATGTCTCGGCCTCAGGCGAAACTTTACGGAACAACATTTACAGTAGTGTCAGCTTTATCGAGTTGTAACCCAACAAGTGGCATTTCTCGACGCTTCTTAGGAACCTTTCATCCAAGCATTTGACCCTAACTTTTACTTCCTTGGATCAAATCTGAGTGCCTTCCATTCTCCAGACGCTGTGGTTCACTGGAACTTGTAACACTCAGTACGAGACTTGTGATATCCTACAGATTAACTCAAGTGTGAGCTTGTAAGATTACATTTCGGTTCTATTCGAAATTCTCTACAGTGCTCTAATAAAAACTTTTTGAATGTGTGTTTCTGAGAAAGTTCAGTTTGATACAAAAAGCTTAAAAAAGCGCAAATTCAGTGTAAAAATCTTTTCAATTAGGAGATAACAGAGCTTAGTGTTTGAATCCGACCTAAAGAAGCATTCTCGTGTTATTACCTTAAAACCAATTTATTAAAATTTGCAAGTTACACGGCTCATTTAATGCAGTCCAGAAATACTGAAAGTTTGAAGCCTATTAGAAAAGGCATTCTCCAGTAATTGTCCTGAATCCAACGATTCCCAGTCAGCCAAGTCTCCCCTGGCACTAGCTCGGTCACCATAGGGAGACCAGTAACCAGGGCTAAAGAGCACTGTGCTAGAAAAATACCGAGTCTGTACAGCACATTGTACCACAGCGCTGAATCAGGTGGTGGCCGGACTTGTGTATTTGACAGGTTGGTGTAGCAACTCTGAGAAGCACAGTTCTCACCCAGTAATTCACTTATGATTTTTGTATTTCTTCCGCTTCGTCTCTTGGCAAGATTTAAATAAACCAACAGCAGCCTGTGTGACATCAGTTCAACAACAACGGTGGTGCATGTTTTCAGATAAACTATACAAACATGTGTCTTTACCGATGTAAGAACCCGAGAGGTTTGAATAAGACGCATGTGCAGCTCTTTGGTGTCTATTGTGTAGACGCTTCTCCAAAGAGTGGCATTATCAATTTAATACAGAGAAAAATCCTGGTGATGTCTTTACGCAGCACCAGCCAACACAGTACCCGCACACAGCACCAGCCCACACAGTACCCGCACACACAGCACCTGCCCACACACCCGCTCACACAGCACCAGCCCACACAGTACCCGCACACACAGCACCTGCCCACACACCCGCTCACACAGCACCAGCCCACACAGTACCCGCACACACACAGCACCTGCCCACACACCCGCTCACACAGCACCAGCCCACACAGTACCCCCACACACAGCACCTGCCCACACACCCGCTCACGCAGCACCAGCCCACACAGTACCCGCACACACAGCACCTGCCCACACACCCGCTCACACAGCACCAGCCCACACAGTACCCGCAACAACAGCACCTGCCCACACAGCACCTGCCCACACACCGCTCACACAGCACCCGCCCATACAGCACCCGCCACACAGCACCCACCCACACAGCACCTGCCCACACAGCAACTGCCCACACACCACTCACACAGCACCCGCCACACAGCACCCGCCCATACAGCACCCACCCACACAGCACCCACCCACACAGCACCGCCCACACAGCACCTGCCCTCACAGCACCTGCCCGCACAGCACCCGACCACACAGCACCCCCCACACAGCACCCGCCCACACAGCATCCGCCCACACAGCACCGCCCATACAGCACCCGCCCACACAGCACCTACCCACACAGCACCCGCCCATACAGCACCCTCCCACACAGCACCCACCCACACAGCACCCGCCCACACAGCACCCACCCACACAGCACCCGCCCACACAAACACCCGCCACACAACACCTGCCCACACAACACCCGCCCAATAAACACCTGCCTACACAACACCTGCCCACACAACACCTGCCCACACAACACCTGCCCACACAACACCTGCCCACACAACACCTGCCCACACAACACCTGCCCACACAACACCTGCCCACACAACACCCGCCCACACAACACCTGCCCACACAACACCTGCCCACACAACACCTGCCCACACAACACCTGCCCACACAACACCTGCCCACACAACACCTGCCCACACAACACCTGCCCACACAACACCCGCCCACACAACACCTGCCCACACAACACCTGCCCACACAACACCTGCCCATACAGCTCTTCAGCTGAAAGTAAACTCGCATTTTCTAACTTTCGGATCTTTATATCACCATTGCATCGGTTTTTATTTACTTACGTAACACCCACATTAAACAAGATAAATAATTTATTGAACTAACAAGTACATGATTATAGTGTTGTAATTTTACTTGTGATTTACCCGTGACTTTATTGAGGGTTCTTGTATCATCGCATCCCTAAGCTCATTGTGGGTTTATTCTCGATTCTATGAAATTTCCAACAGAAACTCGAAGAGACTAGAGAAAATGCAAAGTGTGATCAGGAGGATAAAAACACACACACACACACACACACACACACACACACACACACACACACACACACACACACACACACACACACACACACACACACAAGACTAGTCCCAGAGCTGAGAGGTATGTCCTACGAGGAGAGGTTAAGGGAAATCAACCTGACGACACTGGAGGACAGGAGAGATAGGGGGACATGATAACGACATACAAAATACTGAGAGGAATTGACAAGGTGGACAAAGACAGGATGTTCCAGAGATTGGACACAGTAACAAGGGGACACAGTTGGAAGCTGAAGACACAGATGAATCACAGGGATGTTAGGAAGTATTTCTTCAGCCACAGAGTAGTCAGTAAGTGGAATAGTTTGGGAAGCGATGTAGTGGAGGCAGGATCCATACATAGCTTTAAGCAGAGGTATGATAAAGCTCACGGCTCAGGGAGAGTGACCTAGTAGCGATCAGTGAAGAGGCGGGGCCAGGAGCTCGGACTCGACCCCCGCAACCTCAACTAGGTGAGTACAACTAGGTGAGTACACACACACACACACACACACACACACACACACACACACACACACCAGCACTGCATCTTAGATTGAAATTAATGAACATTTTTAAGAACATTGTAATTAAAGTTATTAACATTGGACAAAATTATGCATGATTTCCTGCAATTAAATATTGTTAATTTGTGAAAGTAGTGCTACCTGATGATAATATTGCAATTATAAGTGTGGAAATATATGTGGATAAGGGTAATGTAATTGTTATGGCAGCAATACCTGAATATTGAAATAGCCAAAGGAAGAGTTAGTGTCGCCCATGGTGTGTCCACTGTTTGGTCTTTAATGCACTTACTTCCTCTGTTGTGGTAGGTTCCATCAAGGGGTGAGTAGTAGTGACCAATAAATTCACCGCTAGGGGCAAAATCTGTACGGAAATGGATACGGATGCATTCCTTTAGGACATCTTTACGGAAGTGATCAATATCCAAGAACCAAAACGTTTTCATTAAAAGTGACATAAGTAACTGCAATCGCGTCTATTTCCTTCAAGTTGTTGGCAGTCATTTGCCTTCTTAATGCAAAATTTACCTTACCACAGTGCATAAATAACCCGCACATAGGATAGTGTAACTTATGACGGCCCGATCTGAAACATTAACCAGTTAATGGTCATAAGTTTCTTTCTCTTATATACGGGTTATTTGTGTATTGTTCCAGTCTCTGTATTGTGCCTTTTATTCTTCATTCTTACCATAGTGGATGAGAGGTGTTTGTAGGTCAGTTGGTGATCTAGAGAGTTGCAGGTAACCTAAGACTGCTACCAAGCTGCTGCTGGCACTGTGAAGGCGCACGATACATCCAGGCATCACGACAGCGTCTCTAATCTCCCGACCTCGCTCTCACACAATTATTCATGAGAATAAAATATAATGTGTATATTAATAAACCCGGTGTGTCTCGCATCCCTCCGGTTTGTTTAGCTTGTAAACGAGAGAGAGAGAGAGAGAGAGAGAGAGAGAGAGAGAGAGAGAGAGAGAGAGAGAGAGAGAGAGAGAGAGAGAGGGAGAGGTAGAGGGAGAGGGGGAATTGAGTAACGTAGAATTCCCTTTCTCAATAAAGTCGTTTGAACATTGTACTAATCTGTCATTCCTCTGTTAGTTTATTTGAAGCTTTAAGGGCTACAAGTTTGTCAAAAATCCCATTTCAAATACTTCATTTAGCTCCTTAGAACTGATTGAAGTGAGATACGACAGACATTACATCTCTGGATCACATCACCGAGACGCTAGAGCTGAAAACTATGTGCTTTAGAATCTTTAGTCTGCTTACAGATGCACACGTCTCTCACGAGCTGAGGGCTCTCAGAATCTATGGTTATTTGGCAATGTTGATAGAAAACAAATTATTGTGAACTAAACATATAAAGGAGAGTGTCTTCATATTTCGACCCCCAGTTAAGATCGAAATATACAGCTAAACTCTCTTATTGGCTTGTTTTTTCTACAACGGCACCCTTCTTGTATTTACATCCGAAGACATAAAATCGTGAATCTGGCTACAAATATAACTCATTCCTAGCCGGGTCTGGGCAATCTGCTGTATAAAGTTAAATGTCTCCAATGATAAGGTGAGCCTGTCACTAACTCGGCACCAGCCCTCAGAAATATTTAGCTGGACTCCATCGAGATTCTAATGACAACTGATGACCGTCTCGTTGACATTGCCTGGGCATTCCTGGCTGACGGCACATTTCTTCTTATTATGGTGGACGATCCACGCTGCATGGTGCCCTATGCGGAATCATAAAGTGAAGCTCACACTACTCTAAATGTTCCAGGTTTTATTTATTTTTTTGTATATTATCAAACCCTAATCTAGTTCAAGGAAGAGTTCAGTAGTCTTCAGTCACAATCGTTCTTTACCTATCTGGCTTTGACCTAAACCTTCGCGTTTTTCTTAAGTGTACTGAGTGTTCCTTTTTCCCGTTCCAAGGGCAGGTTGTGCAGTATCTAAGCAACTGTTTAGTCACCAAACTTCTGGGAGCAGAATAAAAAAGGAACGAACAGTATTAACTCTTACAATCATCAACAGCAACA